CTGTGAATTGTGTAAGACTGATGAATCACAGACCTGTACCTCTGAAAAAAATAATACATAATATGTAAAAAAAAAAATTTAAAGAAGAGAAAACATTCTAAACCAAACAAGAAACCTAAGCCTAAAAATAAATAAACTTAAAATATGTAAATATGTAAACTTTTATATGCCAAAATACATAATAAAAAATAAATGATCGGCCTTGAAAAAAATAATACAGATGACAAACTAAGTGCTTATATTTGAAATACACAAGGATTGTTTTAAAATACAAGAAAAATACAAACAACCCTATAGAAAAGTTGGCAAAACTGGGAAAAGGCAATTCATGGCATAGAAAATTTTAATGACAAAATTAATACGAATTAGGTAAATTCACTTTAACATAACCACAAAATATAACTTTATACCACTAAGATTAGCAAATATTTTTTAAAACAGTATTTATTGCTAGCAGAGATAGGAGATGAAAACATAAATTGTTACCATCTTTGTAGAATGTTGAAAGAAATCTGGCAAGAGCAATTAAAAGTAAACATACCAGGGTGCCTGGGTGGCTCTGTCAGTTGCGAGTCTGCCTTCGGCTCAGGTCTTGATCCCAGGGTCCTGGGATTAGGCCCCACATCAGGCTCGCTGCTCAGCGGAAAACCTTCCTCTTCCTCTCCTGCTTCCCCTGCTTGTGCTCTCTGTCAAATAAATAAATAAAATCTTTTTTAAAAAATTAAGAAAAGAAAAAAGAAAAACAAATAAAAGTAAACATACCCCCTGCCAAAAAAAGTAAACATACCATTTGACACTGAATTCCTGCTTCTGGTCATACTTTCCATTGAAAAAATTCTCAGTTAATATGAACATAAGTATATAGATGATTAATATGAAATTATTTGTAGTGGCAAAAGATAAAAATGAGTTTTTCTTTCACTGGGAAGTAGAAAGATAGAAAAAGAAGAGGATTAAGAATACAATGGACTCTGAAAAACAAACTGAGGGTTCTAGAGGGGAGGGGGTGGGGGGATGGGTTAGACTGGTGACGGGTATTAAAGAGGGCACCTACTGCATGGAGCCCTGGGTGTTATACACAAACAATGAATCATGGAACACTACATCAAAAACTAATGATGTAATGTATGGTGATTAACATAACATAAAAAAAAAAAAGAGTACACTTATCTCGCCCTGCCGGTAGCGCTCTCGCAAACATGGTGAACGTTCCTAAAACCGCCAGACTTTCTGCAAGAAGTGTGGCAAGCACCAGCCCCACAAAGTGACACAGTACAAGAAGGGCAAAGATTCTCTTTATGCCAAGGGAAAGCAGCATTATGACAGGAAGCAGAGTGGCTATGGTGGGCAGACTAAGCCGATTTTCTGGAAAAAGGCTAAAACTACAAAGAAGATTGTGCTGAGGCTTGAATGTGTTGAGCCCAATTGCAGATCTAAGAGAATGCTGGCTATTAAGAGATGCAAGCATTTTGAACTGGGAGGAGATAAGAAGAGAAAGGGCCAAGTGATCCAGTTCTAAGCTTCATATTTTGTTAATATTATGAAGACAATAAAATCTTGAGGTTATGTTCACTTCAAAAAAAATAAGTAAATAAAAAAGAACACACTTATCCCTTTTTTCACAACGGGCTTGCCACCAGAACACAGGTGTAGTGACAACAACCACTAAACCTAAAGCAAAATGGGAAAGGGAAAGACTCACATCAACATCGTCCTCTTTGGACACATAGATTCAAGCAAGTCTATCTACTACTGCTGGTCATCTGATTTACAAATGTGGTGGGATTGACAAAAGAACTATTGAAAAATTTGAGAAGGAGGCTTCTGAGATGGGAAAGGGATCCTTCAAGTGTGCTTGGGTCTTGGATCAACTAAAAGCTGGATGTGAACATGGTATCACCATTGATATCTCCCTGTGGAAACTCGAGACCAGCAAGTATTATGTGACCATCATTGACTTTATCAAAAACATGATCACAGACACATCTCAGGCTGACTGTGCTGTCCTGATTGTTGCTGCTGGTGTTGGTGAATTTGAAGTGGGTATCTCCAAGAATTGGCAGATCCGTGAGCATGCCCTTCTGGCTTACACACTGGGTGTAAAACAACTAATTGTTGATGTTCACAATATGGATTCCACTGAGCCACCCTACAGCCAGAAGAGACATGAGGAAATCATTAAGGAAGTCAGCACCTACATTAAGAAAATTGGCTACAATCCCAACACAGTAGCATTTGTGCCAATTTCTGGTTGGAATGGTGACAACATGCTGGAGCCAAGGGCTAACATGCCTTGGTTCAAGGAATGGAAAGTCACCCATAAAGATGGGAATGCCAGTGAAACCACATTGCTTAAAGCTCTGGATTGCATTCTGCCACCAACTCGTCCAGCTGACAAGCCCTTGCATCTGCCCCTCCAGGACGTCTACAAAATTGGTGGTATTGGTACTATCCCTGTGGGCCGAATGGAGACTGGTATTCTTAAACCTGGCATGGTGGTCACCTTTGCTCCAGTCAATGTTACAACTGAAGTAACGTTTGTTGAAATGCACCATGAAGCTTTGAGTGAGGCTCTTCCTGGGGACAATGTGGGCTTCAATGTCAAGTACGTATTGTCAAAGATGCTCATCGTGATAACATGGATGGTGACAGCAAAAATGACTGACCAATAGAAGCTGCTGGCTTCAGAGCTCAGGTGATTATCCTGAACCATCCAAGCCAAATCAGTGCTGGATATGCATCTGTGTTGGATTATCACACAGCTCACATTGCTTACAAGTTTGCTGAGCTGAAGGAGAAGATAGATCATCGTTCTGGAAAAAAGCTGAAAGACAGTCCCAAGTTCCTGAAATCTGGTGATGCTGCCATTGTTGATCTGGTTCCTGGCAAGCCTTATGTGTGTTGAGAGCTTCTCTGACTATCCTCCTCTGGGCCGTTTTGCTGTTCGTGACATGAGACAGACGGTTGCTGAGGGTGTCATCAAAGCAGTGGACAAGAAGGCAGCTAGAGCTGGCAAGGTCACCAAGTCTGGCCAGAAAGCTCAGAAGGCTAAATGAATATTATCCCCAATACCTGCCAACCCAGTCTTAATCCGTGGTGGAAGGACGGTCTCAGAATTGTTTGTGTCAATTGGCCATTTAAGTTTAATAGTAAAAGACTGGTTAATGATAACAAAGCATCATAAAACCTTCAGAAGGAAAGGAGAATATTTTGTGGACCATTTGTTGTGTGTGTGTGTGTGGCAGTTTTAAGTTAGTAGTTTTTTAAAGTCAGTACTTTTTAATGGAAATGACTTGACCAAAAATCTGTCATAGATGGGCACCTGGCTGGCTCAGTCGTTAAATGTCTGCCTTCGGCTCAGGTCATGATGCCAGGGTCCGGGGATCAAGCCCCGCATCAGGCTCCCTGCTCAGCAGGAAGCCTGCTTCTCCCTCTCCCACTCCCCCTGTTTATGTTCCCTCTCTCAGTGTGTCTCTATCAAATAAATAAATAAAATCTTTAAAAAAAATCTGTCATAGAATTTTGAGACCCATTAAAACAAAAGTTTAATGAGAAAAAAAAAGAGTACACTTACCTTGAT